TTAGCACGACGATCGCGAACTTTCGGGACAGTCTGAGATTTGAAAGACAAACAGGAATTTTCAATCCTCATTTCAACGACGGCGTCGTTCGCCTTGACGAGAACTTCGAAAGGCGCCTTGTGAAAACTGAACGAGAACAGTGGCTACGAAACAAAATGCTATTGGAATTAACCTCTTAGCTATGGTGCCGTTTTTTAAACTTATGTATCGAGATCGTATCACTGGAACGATGTGATGACGAACACAAAATACATGCAGTTTAAAATTGAATTAAATTATAAGAATATAAATTAAATTAAATAAATTGAATAGTAAGAAAATAAATTAAATTCAATAAATTGAATTATAAGGAAATAAATTAAATTCAGAAATTGAATTATAAGGAAATAAATTAAATTAAATAAATTGAATTATAAGGAAAGAAATTAAATTAAATAAATTGAATTATAAGGAAATAAATTAAATTAAATTATAAGAAAATAAAGTACATTAAATTAAATAAATTACATTAAATTAGAGTATAAGTTTTTTTTTTTGAAAAATCAATAGTTTTATTACATAGAAAGATACGTAGAAATGATGTAAAAAGAACTAGTCAAGTCTAGTCTCAAAATATTCTAAAATTTACCTCATTTTCCACAAAAAGTTCAATTTAAGTAATAAACTGTAATTACACGAGTACACTCGCCACTACACAAAAAAAATTGCCATTTCTTCGTGACGAATATACTCGTCATTCACAGCTAACAATAAGAGGTTAACGTGCAACATTTTTCGCGAAAACGAGAAACGCGGCTGAACGCATAAAAACGCGGATTACACGAATGAATGTTCGCTAGAATGTAATTAAAACTGTGTACAATTTGTTCGTCGAGCTCGTAAACAATGATAGTAATTGTACAATTTTGCTTCTAACACGCACGTAAAATCGAGTATGACATTTTAAACGTTTCTACAAATTACAATTTACCTCCACGAAACGGAATGCAAATTAAAGGGACAGTCGATTAACTTCACGGTGCGTGACGTTATACTACTGCCTATAAAACATGCCCCGTACGCATTCTGTTACTCGTATTATCGTTATTGTTATCATTGTTTATTGCAAAGATGTGTATAACATTTTGTTATTATTCTATTGTAATTAATTGTTATAGAGGTGTGTATAACATTTTGTTATTATTCTGCTATTGTAATTAATTGTAACTTCAATTAGTCTGTTGGAGAAGATAAACCGATCATTCGGAGTTGAAAACATAAGAACGGATATCAAAGAAACAAAATCCTAAATATTTCGTGTTTCTATTGAAAAAAAACTTTTGCTCGTGTCAATACAAATTTCACGTTAATTGCTGGTATTCCAAATAAATTTAAAAAAATATTGTAGTATAGATATATTTGAGAGAGTATAGATATATTTTGTATATCGTAGGATATATTTAATTATCAAAAAGTTGTGTAATTGATGATAGATTTAATTTACCCTTCCCCCGCAACAAAGTCTTTTCGAGTTACCTATTTTTGACTAAAGTATCATTGAGTTAATTTATGATTCCGTTCACTGGAGTAATTTAATCCTAAATTTTAATAACCAGTTGAAGCTTGATACTAGGTATTGAGCAAATTGTTCACCACAATGTTTTGGATAATATCATATTACAGATCAGAAACATGAAATTTAATTCCTACAACCATATCTCGCTGTCTCCAACTTCGAACACTGCTCACTTTGGAAATTCGTGAGAGTCGCGAGACAGACTTTTCAATCCTCGTGCGGATCGAGATCGTGATCCGACGGAAAATCCGATCTGCTCGCTCCAGACGGATACGTCGCGAGGCGAAGAACAAACGGTACCTGCGGACGAATGCATCGAGACGACACGCCATATCCGAAGCGTGCGCAACTAACAGGACAAACAGACGTGTTTCAACGATCGTACGATCCGACACGGTCCAAAGTAGTTCGAGACAGAAACTCGCGACGTCGAACGATTTTCTGTAGACTTGTCAACGTGTTATGTTGCAGCGAGTGAGTCAGTGAACGAATTTCGAGACGCTGGACAGCGGTAATAATAAAATATTGCCAAAATTTACCTCTTTGCCTGTTCATAATAAAATAAATTGCCAAAATTTCGAGTTTGGAGTTTCGTTAACATGGAGAATATCTATGAATCAATTCGTTGCACAAAATTTTTGCGTCCGATAGGAATAATTTTAAAAAGCAACCATAAAGAGGAGAAAGTAAAAGCACGTGCATGTACGATAAAGCAATTGAGTGAACAGAAGTGACATGGAAAATATCTATGAACAAATTGATTGCAGAAAATCTTTCTGTCCCAGAAAAATAATTTCTTTTCTTAATTCCTTTTTTACACGGATAAGGAAAAGCAATCGTGAAGAAGAAAAAAAAAGAAAGTACGTACGCGTACAATAAATCAATTGAATGTTAGAAATGATTTATATCCAGTATATTTCATTTTCGTTTCTTCTAAAAGCTTTTTGATAATTAACACCAAACTCGTCGGTATGACGGATTTCATTAGAAAAAGAAACGAAAATATTAGAAAAGCTAAAAGGATGCGAGTATTTTTGTCAAACTTAATATTGACTTCTACTCAAACGGAGACACAATTATATGGAACAAACATTTCTATTTATTTCAATTATCGTTACTCAAATTGTGGAATAATTTTACAGATACTAAAGCGTTACGAGAAACCTTCCGACAAAATGAACTTTAAAAAGCGACACATTAAATAGACACGCACGTGCAAGAGAAACGAAACGAAAACCTAATTCGCTTAAACAAAACGCCCGGAGTAAAATTTCGATCGTTCGTGAAACTGTGTTTGGCCACGATCGACAAGTTTCCAAAGTCCCCGTTCTCACTGGATAAAATTTCTTTCTACCGATGCAAATCGACAGGCCAATTTTGTTTTCAATCGAATAAGCCCGTATCAGGAATAGAACAAACGAATACAGATGAACAGTGAGCGAAGAATCGGTCATGCCAGGCGATCGGAAAGAATTATTCCGCCGTCTAGTAACAGGCCTGCTCGCTAATATCGTGATATTAACAGCGGCGGTGTCTGCGTCGTTGGATCGATACCGGCCGCGTTATCTTCGATTGTCCGATTAGCCGTCGTTTTATTTGATTATCCATGCTGCATGGCCGCCGCTCGTCCGATAATCCGTCCGTCCTTGTATTTTACGTGTAATAACAGGAATGGCTGGCTAAATAACAGGATAACCGGATTAAACCGTGGTAATTGCAGAAGAGTAATCACGCGGCGATGCAGGGACTTCAAACTTGGCACACACGGATCCGTGAATGAATCCGCAATAACTCCAAGCAACGTGGCAAGTGTAGCATTTATCAAGAGGAACTCGCAGACAGATAATAGAGAAGGTGAGTTGCACAATCTCTCACGAGTGATTTTTACGCGCGTTTTTACACAGAGTGATCCATTTAAGCCAGGTCGCCTATACATCTCTTCGACTTGCAAATACTTTTCGCCTAACAACGAATGGTAAGGCCAATGAATAATTGATAAAAAGACCGATCGAAAGGCGAATGTAGAATTGGTAAAAATATCTTTTTTTTCCCAGAGACATTCTTTTTCTGAGTTTTTAAAGTTATTGATGTTTCCTTTTTCATACAACTATATATATATATATTTTTTTATTGTGTCGTGTAGTTGATAAAAAAAGACATTCAAGTATATATAAAGAACATGACCTTGAACTGACACCGATGTTTAGAAATTCTGAATGCACGTAGCTAAAGAAATGGGCATACAGAGAAATTTGTTTCATCTACTGAATACTTCACTGTACGGATTTCTGCACTTTCACATTGACAGTGAATGCACGAACATCTTCAGTTGATATAAAATCATTAAATTGTGAATTTTCGTTGAATTGTTTCATTTGCCAACAATCATACGAAAGTTTCATCTTTAGATGCTTTGTAAATATTTTGCATATTTTGCATGAGTTCATAAATATCAGTCTGATTATCATAGTAAATTTACATTAATTGTTATCGATTAACAGTTGAATATCAGTCTGATTATCAGTAATTGTACATTAATTGTTATCGGTTAACAGTTAAATTAATAAGAAGTTTGAACGAAAAAATAAAATTCTGCTGATTACAAATATTTGTGTGTGTTTCTACAAAAAATGAAAAATTTGAGGGCCAGTTTCTTGCAGTTATTGATCCGCTAATGGATCTCTGTTAACGCAGACAATTAGCAGAAATTTAGGTCACGAAAAACTAAAAGCTCTCTAACGACCATTTTACTGCACGTTATTTCTCCACTAGTACCGACTACTTTCTATTCGAAGTTCCACGTTCACGTGCAAACCGAGTTTCTTCTCATTCAAGTGCTAATGTGATTATGCCCCTTCAACTAAATGCTACGAAATACACAGAAAACCTTTCCTTCAACTTTCGGCTATTATTTTCCGTGTATCCTATGTAAATTATCAACACTACAACTAACTATATATTACGAGAGAGATGATTGTAAACAGACCGTAGATTTTTACTAGAAATTTAAAAATTCAAGATTATGAGGAATTCGCTCATAGTACGTTAAACGTGTCCAAAGTACAAGTTTCTATAAAATTTACTGGATGAGACAATTTCCGGTTGAAAACAAAGACACGAGTTTGCATCAAAATCCACGATCTAACAAATCAAGCAATTACGATAAAAATTTAACCAATTTAACCGAACAAATCACCAATTTTACCAAAGGCACTTTTACCAATCGCAAACGAACCAATTAATTCAAATCGTAGAATAAAAATTCCTTCCTTCAACCATCAGATTTACCGATTTGTCTCATCAAGAGACGATAACTGTCGAACAAACTTTTTCAATTAGCCGTTGCAATGGTTTGTTTGGGAGATCGAAAACGACAAAACACACGATCGAGATACGTGGATCGACGCGGAAGAAGACGAAATATGAGCGAGGTTGAAGGATTTACCGGCGAAGAGATCGAATCTGGTCCTGCTCCTCTCACTGTCCTCGAAGCCCTCAAGGTCGTCCTCGTAATCCTCGTAATCCTCCACGCGCTCCCTCCTCTCTTTCTCGCTGACATTCCTCGGCAACGCATTGCTAGTGGCCCTCTGCGCTTGCCTCGCTCTGGCCTGGTTATTACTACTGAAGAGGACAGCCGGCGGAGGCGGCGTCGACAGCTGCGAGCCCTGAAGACGCCTCTGAAGGTATCTGGCCAAGATCGCCTGTACCGCGTCTGTCTCCGCGCCGCCTGCAAGACAGAAATCACGTTGCTCTCGTAATCAGGCCGATAATTTGTGTTTTTCTACAGTTTCTTTTATTTTTTTATATTTTTTTTTTTTTTTTTATTTCTTTAATGTCACTCCACTTTTATACAAGATAATTCTCGCTACTGTTCTTCCCAGACTTGGTAATTTCCATTGGATCAGCGTCTAAGATTCAGGGATTTGTTAGATTAGTTGTTAGCGTGGTTCCTTTATTTCTCTTCCTCTTCCTTTCGTCACGCTTTTCTTCGTCACAGCTGTACTTTTACTTCGTGGAAGTTTATGTCGAAGGTAGTTGAAGGAAAATTGATTCGCTCCAACATTTGAACTGAAAGTCGTGATATCTGCCAATTATAAGTTCGAACGAAACTTCGTAGAAACTTTTTTCACCATCCTTGCGCGTTCCATGTACATTTTTGATAAAATTTTACCAAAGGACAGAGAGCTAGTAATAAAGGAAATAATATTATGTATTATACTACGATATTATTTCACCTTCTTTCCTTGTTCTTCCATTTATTTCAATTCTCTCTTTCTCTTTCTCTCTTTCTCTTTTTCTCTCTGTCTGCCGTTAATTCCAAACCCGTCGTGAAACGCTGTGCATCCAAAGTTTCTCGCACATTCGTATGCATGAAACTTTTCGTACGATCCGCTAAGAGCTCCTAAGAGAGCCACGAAACAGCAGAAATACGCTGTTGCGCGCCTCACCCCTTCTTCATTTCTTTCACGCCAGGTTTTTGACCAGATGAGGGAACCATTCTGAGAAAATGTCGCCACTCGGAGAACGCTTTTCCCTCGTCGGTCGCTTGGTTCATATATCGTTCCTCGTTTCTTTAACACCTTCTTCTTCTCGTGTCCCTCGGTATAATCAGTAGGAAGATGACAAAGAATAATCGTAGTCTTATCATGCAGATTTCCCTTCGCATCAGTTGAAGCGATCGTGTGTTTCACAATAGTTTGTTTTCTAGCTATGCAAGCACGTGCAAGCCGCCAAATGACAGAATCAGAGAAAGCTATTCCTTATATTATTTTTTGATTGGCCATCTGCGTGACATATGCAGACGACGCGTGCTTAGTTTCACTTTCAGTTACTTTCCAATTCTTTTGTCAACAGCGTTACCCTCACACGATCTCAAGTACGACTTGACAGCGACGAGCCCTTAACCATTTGCGCTGGGCAGCTGATTGCGGACCATAACGAGTGACCAAATCGTGTACAATAATTCGTCCCTTTCTTTTTAAACTCGTCGGTATGATTTCTATCCATCACTGGATAGAAATGATTGAGAAATTATTAACAAATTTATTATTTGTTTGTGCCTATTAAATATATTTAAAACTGAAGAAATATTGCAATTTTGGAGGAAAAGATTCTCAATGTGCGTGGCACGTCATTCCAGCGCAAGAGCAAACAAAGAAGTGCATTTTGAGAGAAATGCAAAAGGGAATTTGAAAAAGTTAATCGTTCAGAAAGGACAGAATCCTAGAGTCAGCCTTCTATTACAGTAGATCAGAGAATCATGTGGTAGGCCTAAGAGTTAGAGAATTCCTCGTTTCTACACGGAGTTTCGTAGAGACAATTAATCTGTCAGTTGTAGACCGAGTAAAATCTGTTGGAAGAAGTTTCTTTTGTCAAAGTATTTATTTTGTTCAGCACTTTGTTGTTGGATTGATACGAGAATTGGCGACTGAATTATTCACTCTCTACATTTTCACAAATACTTGTATAGAGTGGCCACCGAAATACAGGACGGTCACTGAATGATACAAAACAAAGATAACTTTCACAAACACATGTTTTTAAAATTTTTTATTATTTTATTTGGAAATATAATTAACGGGTTTTTTTTAAGTATTACAAGTGAATTTTTATGAATTAAAATTCTCTTTTATGAATTATCTCAAACTCTTCAGTTTTTCAGTGACCACTCTATACTTTGTGGAAACACGAGTGATGCATTTCATGAATTTTATCATGAAATTTGTACTCTAATTAAGCAATCTGATCTACTGTTTGTTAGGACACTCTTAGGTAACCATGTGAGACAAATTATACACGAAAATGACTCGAAAATGATAGATCGTTAGAAATTAGACGAATCACTTTACACACACTCTCTCTCACACACACTGATCGATAAAACAAGCAATCAAAATCCGTAGTTTTCCGCTTGGTCCCAAGCCATACTTGGGCGGTCCAACATTGTACATGGCACTCTTGTGCAATAGCCAGGGTCAACGAGGCGACACCCAAACTGGTTTCTCAACTCCGGGTTCATACGGGCGCAAACATAAAATTTATCGAAGTTGAAGTGGTACGTATCAATTCGACGTTCGTTGTTGCGCCATCATCTTTTCCCTGGTCATTTTGAAATCGCTTGTCGTCCAGTTCGAAACAATAATACAGCTTCTTCTCCGAGTGAAAACCAGCAGGAGCTTACAGAAGCCTCGAAGGTAAGGAGCTTACGTAAGCAGCGACCGTTTCGACGTTAGGGTAAAAGGATGTTGTTAAGTAGAGCATGAAAACACTCGAGAAAATACACGGTTGTCTATACTGGCTTCAAAACCGTGTCTGATTTGATCTCGCAGACTCATCTGCCACATTTTTTAACGTACCGTTAATATTTTCAATTTTTAAATGTCACTTAAAGAGTCGTCGCTCACCGTAATCGTACTCGTTATGGTAGCCACGCGATTTCTATTTGCATTATAAATAATCTATGCGGCGTGTCGTTCCGTGGAAAGCGTGATTCTACTTGAAGAGGATATTTCATGCCGCTGTTGACCTATTACGAGGACAGTTATGAGCGACGCTATAAATAGACTTATTTAACTTTTCTTGTGACAACGTCTCGAGATCCTCAAACGTCAAATTAGGGCACAACTTTCACCAAGTTTCCCAGATACGTCATCGTCCGAAGGGAAAGCACCGCGTGACTCGATCGCGATCTCAGTTTCATCACAGAGTCGTGTGGTAAAAAAATTTTCGGACGAGTGAATAACTTCACCTTCGCACAAAGACAAATTTTCGATTACTTGCTAGTATCATTAATAACAATAGTAAAAAATAGTAAAAAATTGTTTCAACAAATTTTTTAACTAGTTTCCTCTATCTCCCGTGGAAATATTCAGTTTCAGTTTTATCGAATGAAGCGAGTTCTTTTTAATGTTCGTTTCGTCGAACAATTGGATCGCAGTTTCGAAAGGATATATGGAACATGTACACAAAATCCGCAGTTCTTGCGAATTTTCTGTACATATTCCCCAAACAAATCTTTGTTTTGTTACGAGCATTCCTTCAATTATTTTCCAAATAATAGTATCATTAATAATAATCTTTTTTCATCTCCTGTAGAAACTTTCAATTTCAATTTCATCGACTGAACTTTCTTTTAATTTTTCTGCTTTATCAAGCAATGATTATGGTACTTTACAGTTACGAAAGGATACACGGAATATGTCCGCAGTCTGCAAAAATATACACGATATTCAAAATCCGAAGTTCTTGTTACAACATTTAAATATTAATTATTATTAAATGATACATACTAGCAATCATAATAAATTTATAATAAACTAATAACAATATTTATGATAAATATTAATAATCATTAAATATAAGTTATTTAAATTTAGTGTTCCGCTTTGTCACAAGTCTCGTTCCTTCAATCATCTTCTGCGTAAATATCCGCAGTCTAATCAAAGACACTTGCATAACTAAAGAGTACATCGGAGAATATCATATAATACCAAAGCTATCGACAGTCTGGTAATGTCACGATAATGTCTGGTCGAGCGTAAATCTGGCCGAGTCCAATGACAGCGAGATCGGCTGGCAACGGAGCATAAAAATCGTCGGGGACTTTATTTATAGAGGATCCCGCGGGGATGAACGTGGGATTAAGCGGTGACTTACGAGCCGCGTTGCGTCTCGTCCCAGGGTGGGATTCCTCGAAACCTGGCCGAAGTAACCGGCCCGTCAGGATCACGATGGTTAAAAGCATCGACGTTATGCCAAGTGCGTAGTCCGCGTTTGCTCGTAAAGGTAAATGATATGCAACGGAGCCACTCGACCCGGCAGGACACTCCATTAGAGAGTCCTCGCAGCGTGGGCATGCGTTTGACGTTCAACAGCGTCCTCGAATCGTCAACGTCCCGTGTATACGTGCGATGCGTGCGAATTAAAGGGTGAAGCCGGATACTCGATACACGCCACTCGTGGATAGGAAGCGGGTGAAAAACCAGTGCTCGAACGCTGGTCACCAGGTTTCATTCGGATTCAATTCTCCGCCACCGAGAGAAGGAACGATAACGTTTGATCGATGAACAAACGCGATGTTAAACACGTTTCCAATCTTGGTTTCAATCTTCGCCGATGGACACATTTACACAGTTACAGATACAGTTTTTGAAACGTGTTCGAAACGTCAAACGTGGTGTTGGAATGTCGACGTTGGAGTGCTTCGTCTAACTCTTTCGGGTGATGAAATAGGAGATTGTGGCAGAGATTGCTGATAAATGTAGATAGATTTATCTTTTTAAATGGGATTGCAGATGAATTTTTTAACTTTTTTTTCAAGAGGTTTCGTTTATTAATTTATACTCCGGGCGCAATTTCCATTTACTTGCAACCGGACTGTTCAAAGTTCATAAATGGATGTTGTTGACTGTGCTCAGGTTCTCAGCTTAATTAATTCTAGGTTTCCTCTTCTTTTTATTCCCCCGTATTCCATGTCCCATTCTTCCAGATTTAATCACACTAACACGATCGTACGCGACCTGTGTAACACTAATACCTGTGCATTACAATAAAATTAACTGAATTTATTAGCTTCAAAAGAGAGACGTATAAAGCCCTGGTCAACCTCAGCATAATTCATTCCCTTTATCCCTTATCACACTTTATTGTACATTTTTTTGTTCTATCTGCTATTTTATTGCATTTTTTTTACTGTATTCATTAAGTTCATCTGTTACTGTAACTACT